GAGGGGCTGAGGGCTGTTTGCAGGCTGGCCAAGCCCCCCAGGAGGGACCCTCACCCCATGGGGGTGTGGCCAGCCTGGGTGAGGGGTTGAGGGCCATTTTCAGGCTGGTCACACCCGCCCCTGGCGACGCAAGCTCCAAGCTTCTCCTTTTTTTCATCTTTTTTTTTTTTTAGCGCCTCCTTGAGCGGAGGCCAGAGCAGGCTGGAAGCAGGTATCTGGGATTTATTTATCTTCTATAATTGAAACTTTGAAGCCTTTAGCGGAGCCCGGGGTTAGCCAGGGCAGGTGGGAAGCCTGGCTTCCTCCATCGCCGGGGGCAACCCAAGCCTCCTGCTCGCTCCAGCTCCGTGGCCGCTGCCATCTTAGTTGGGTTAATTTGCATACTCTTGATTGGCTGGTGGGCGTGGCTTGTGGGTGTGGTGGAGTGATGGTTAATTTACATGTTTCTCTTTTATTAGTGTAGATATGTGGAACAGCTAAGATTAGAAGCCAGATTTCCTAAACCAAATCCAATGATACTTCTTAACTTTTGAGCCAAGTAGATTTATGGATATTGGTTTTTTGGTGTATCTCAAATATAAGAATTAATATGAATTATCTGAAAATAGCTAGTAAGGAAACATAAGTTTCATGTGTTACTATAAACAGATTTTTCTCTTAGTTACTTGTAGAAATTTAGCTTGTTGAGTTCACCAAAGAAAGTAATCAGTCTCTTTGTAATAACAGATTGTGTTCCTTTAAGAACTTAATGGATAAACTTGAAACATGATAGATGAAGTCTGGTTGTTTTAAAAAATATATATTTTTCTGTTAGTACAAAGTGTATATATTTTAAACATTCAATAAGAATGTGTATTACATGGTAATGGAATAAGACATCAGGTTCTTAAAGTTACAAAATTAGTACTTTTTAAATATAAATTAGGTTGTTTTAAAAATTAGTGCTACTTAAATATCAGTAGTGGAAATTGAGCCCTGTAGTGAGCTACATACAAAACTGTTCTAGTTTACACAGTCTAGTTTTCTCTAATAAAGTTAATTAAATCACAAATGTTTTACATGTTGGTAGTTCCTTTGTAAAGAAAAAGAGCTGTGTGGTCCTAAGGTCATTGTATTAGTTGAGCATTTAGTCAGAGAAGAATAGCTAGTAGTTGA